TATATATATACCAGTCCTGTTTGATGTTGCAGGTTGTTGACAAACGCTGGACTGGGAGATCTATATGTGAAAGTTCTGTGAACTTGAAAGTATCGCGATGGTCAGTAAATCAATAAAAACTTAGCTTTTACTAAACTGGTAATCGAGAAAGACTCTGGAAAGGCAATCTTTTGCTAGTATTACTATATTATTGTTATTATATTTAACTATTACACTTGAAACTCATCGGCTCGGTTTCGGCGGCGAAAGCAGTCAAAGTTTCTAAATAACTAAACCGTTTTCGTACTATTGTCCGGAGAATCATGGAATATAGCTTTGAAGTTGGACGATACATGTGGCTGCGCTTCGCTTCACACGCTCCCACGGTATGAACCTAGGAATTGGCAGTTAAGTGGTAGGACGAAGGAACGCTCGGATTGAGTTTACTCAAGTGTACGGTGGACCCTGGACCCTCAGGGTTGTAGCCTTCAAGTTAACACAATTTGGCGTGAATGCGTCTCAAGTTTTCGCTGAGAGCATTGAAGTAGAACAATGAACGTATGTGAGTCCAAGTTCACTTGCGATTCGGTGATTCCGGGACTGGCGGCATGGACAAGAATCATAACGGTAATCATCAACGTGGATTATTTTGCAGTAGGTCGGTGACCTCCTATCGGAGCAGCTTCCAGGCAACAGTATAGTCCACTCCAAAGCAGACCGTTCTTTCCACACCTCTGTTTCTGTCACACTAATTATCATTTCTACACCGATTCAATACACACAGCTATCACAACCAACAGAATTTGCGGCCAATGGAATGGCTCTTTTCGACATACTAAATGAATTTCTTGTGGTGGAGCACGTCCGCTACGGAGTCGTCATAGCCCTTCAAGGTTAGTTCCGCATTGATGAATAAATATCCGGGTTGGTTAACTTGAAGTGATTTTGTTGAACCTCTATTTTTGAGTAAAGTGAGTTCCGGGAAGACGAATATTCCTATTATGTAGGGAAGTACATTGCAATAACCTGTGTGCGTGATTCAATGCTACTCTGATCATTTTTTTGCATATTTTAGGCTTGCAGACAATGGATGCGCGTACCGTAACCCCGAACATTGTCTTCTTCTCGGTTGTCCGTGACTGTACTTCAATCATTCAGTTTTTCGGAAAGACAGTGGACGAGTCCATTTTCCCGCTAGTCAGGTAATGTCATTCCTCCACTAAGCGTAGAATACTCCGAAGTAGGTTCTTCCGTTTATCTAGATGATTCGCTTTATTTCAGCAGTGGATGTGTTGCATGTGTAATGGGCTTATCCTTTTGGTGGGTACCTCCAAGGGCAAAACTCAGTTGGTGTCTAATACGGAGCAGAAAAGAGTTTAAGGATGGTACTCGCCTCAGTCACTTTTCCTTTAATTCCACGACTAAAATTGCTTATCCCTAGCGTAAATGCGGCTGATTATATTGAGCGTAGTGACACGGATAGAACAAACAGTTTGCAAGAGCACAAGCCTCACAAGGCAACGATTGCAATCTGTACGTCGACTTGTCCATATTTTTTCTCCTTGAACAGTGCGTGCTCCATTAGAGCGGGCTTCCCATGTTTGGGATGCAAGCTGCTTGCCAGAGGGCTCCACCTACCAAATCCACACCCGGAAAGCTACAGAAATGTCACAGTTTGCCTGAAACATTGCTCAAAAGTGACATTTGAGCAATAAGCCGCGCGCTCCATTACAATACTGACTGCTCTGTTTTCGGTGAATCTCAGAATTGGGTTTTGGTAGTGAGCCTTGCCTTGAAGTGAGTTAGGTAAGCATTGGACGAAATTCCACCACTATTGTCGGCAGTTTTTTTATACTATAACATTCCAATGTTATTCCAATGCCATTCACACAAACGATCAATACAACCAGAGTGTGATTACTCTTTGCGGCTGATATCAGGGTGACCGACGCTATACCGTAATGTGAAGCTGAATGCAAAAACCTTAGGACAAAATACAGCCGGCTATTCGAAAATCCTGGAGAAAGTGAGCAACATTTACTGAAATCTGCCAGCCGTGTGTCCCACAGTTCAGGTGAGATCATGATGAACACGGAAACCTCGGTGTTTTTTACGGATCAAACTTTATCGTGTTCATCTTTACGCCCTTGTGACCTATTGTTTGTTAGCCAATTCCAGTGAGTTGAGGTGACAGCTGCCTAAGACAGTTCTTTCCTAAAAGCAGGCTAATGTCTGATATGGTGTACTATTTCTCTATTTGTTCTAGTGCATCACCTACGTGTCTCCAGGAGATAAATTCGAAACGCCAATCAATTCAGCAGAAATTAGAGGCTCAACTCCAGAGCGGGCTGGATCGCTGCTTGAACCTCATTATATCGCATGTGCAGCATGTTTTATCTACAGAACAGCGCAAAACAGACTTTCGGCCAGATTCAGCTGTCGGAATTCCTGTTGGCGGTCCACCCTCTCAGGTTTGTTATCTGTTTTTTAGCCTACACTTTCTACTATTTGTACACAAAATAAATTGAAAAACACGCCGTTAACTCTAGGACAGTAGAGCTTCGTTATCTCTGTTAAGTTAGTGTTACATTCGGTTCGCGTAAATCAGGCCACTTTCGTTACCGTGTCAGAGTTTAGCCCAACTTGGCTGAGGGCCTCGGGCCACTATCCAAACCATTCAACCCTTTGTTCAGGTGATACATTCTATAGTGAACCCCAAAACAATAGGATGGAAATTGAAAACTGAGAGTGGTACACTCCGCGAGGTGAAGAGCACTAATCTTTTGTGGGTCATTGCCATCGCATTGAGCCTGAAACTTTCTGAAGATTAGAGATAAAACTTGTGCAGCTCATTCATCCGTTGCCAATCCGTAAGCGAGTATTTCGGGGTTCCGAATTTTCCTATCCATTCATGAGATGCGCACTACTGATGGTTTCTAACAAGGATTAAGCAACCACATAGTGTTTGCTGGCTTTTTGGTATGGATTGATGGATGAAATCCCCATTGAACTGACCTGTCTGTTGGATCCCACTACTTGCTTTATACGCCTCCAGGAATCCATGAATACAAAAATGTACGACATTCACGGGCTTATGCTGCTCAAGGCCAACGAATACCAATGCTGTGAGACTTCCGCATTCGTACTATCGCCCTGAAACTTGATGAGGTGTGAAGATCGGGTCCCCACAACCCACTTCGCTGGAATCCTGCTGGTCATTCTCGGGTCACTCTACAAGCACAACGTGAAATAAGCTACGCAAAGGGCTTCGCTATAGCAACGGTTAAGCAAATATATCTGCCATTGCCACGCTCACCGCCAGTGCTCGTTTTGAAGATACGCACCGCCGTATATGTACCGAATTCGGTCTTGGTTATCTTTCTTAGACACGTAGTGATTGATTAGTTCACCTCCATCGTTGAAGAAAACTGCCGTAATTCGACTCATACACTGATCTGCAAGCCAGTTTGGTTTTGTCGGTAGACTCACCTAGCTGAATTTCTCATCTGTGAAGTTCTCAGGCACCAGAGTGCCTCATGTTTCACTTAGTACGATATTCGAGATATCGCAGTATATTTTCATGAAGGCGGTAGCCGCGAAAACAAAACTGGATGGGAAATTGTAGTGTACATGTTGTCGGCTAAGGTTGGGGAAAGATTT